CGCCATTGCCAAGAAGAGTGGCATCAAAATGGAACGCAACCGGCAGTCGAAACAACCTGATGCTACCACAAGTGCGACTGCATCTTGGTCGGAGAAGAAGGGAAACCGCATTTCGCCGTCCAAAGGCGCATGGAAACGAAAGGACCCATCTGCACCAAAGGATCGAGGCTACGAGGGCTTCCAGCGATACAATAGTTTAGAGAATTGACCGGAGCAGTAAAAAGTCTAAATTAATGCTGCAATTTAATTTCGTTTAACAAGCAGTAAAGTCTGCCGTCATTAGATATACAGTTCGTTGACTGCAAACTAGTTCGTTCGTTCGTTCGTTCATTCAATCATTCATTCTAGGATGATTCTAGACGTTATGATGTGAAACCAAACTCCAAATTCGTAGGCGCCACTGGAACATGCCCATACGTGTGGCTACTTGCTCTTGAAGGTCCTATACATCTCCGACAGGGCGTAAGCAAGAGACCGATGAACAGTCCGCAAATAGTAATGACCAGTCGACACATGGTTGCAAAAATGCCATCGGGATTGTCATTCATTTGCCAAGCAGTGAAAATCATGGCAATCATGGCCAAGACGGCCCCATAGCCACCAACCTCGCGCACCATGCGCTCCTCCTCCTGCAGTTCCTCCTTGATGGAGGCCAAGTCGTCCTCGTCGTTTTTCGTTGTCGATGCATCCTTCGCTGGCTGTTTTGTAGCATTGTCATCATTCTTCTGTTGGTTCTTGTCTTTCTTGTTTGGTAAATTGTCGTCTGCTTCTGCTGACTCTTGTGCTCGAGCAGTTGTTTCGGTCGTTCCCGACGATTCCGTGGCAGCCGCAGACTCTTCGACTGCATTGGTCTCGCCTTCTCGCGCAGACTTCACTAAAGAATCTAGGGTCTCATCGGCAAGCAAACGAGTTGATTCTTTTATCGGATTTCGTAGTTCATGTGTTTGTAGCTCTTGTTCAGCTGCTGTTCCTGCAAATAACGTAGAGGACGAGATTCGCCCTCGCAACAGTCGTGATGATTGTTCGTCCGCTCCCCACACAACGGCGAGCCAAGAAAGCACAATTAGGATTTGAAATTGCCTCATGATAACAATTTTGACAGAACTATGATGCGCACAACAACTCCAAGCGAACGGCCAGGTCGTGTTGGCTGTCCTCGCGTACTGCTACACAACAATGACTGCGATGATGCTCGTTGTTGCGTTCCTTCGCTGCGTGCGGTGCAGTGAGAATATCTTTTCACTACCGCATCATCTATTGATGGTGCGACAAGCCACATTGGCGGAAGCGAAACGCGCGCACAAAAACAGCTTTAGCGGCAAGGATTGGCCGGATCATTCTTCGCTCTTGTAAAAGCCGTCTGTTTTTGATTGCCAGTCGTTCCTGCTAGAGAAAGGACAATCAAAGTCGAGTATTCAGTTGATTCATCAAGAGAAACAAGTCCCAATAGTCAAGCGCCCTGCACCGCTCCGTACTTTTCTAGCCAGTACTTTATTTGCCAAGCAACAAGACGACGATCATCAATAGTACAAGAAATTGCAACCATGTCGAACCGAAATGACGACGACGCGGACACCATGACATGCCTCGATGGAACTACCTGCCAAAACGGTGGCTCATGTAAGGAAGGTACCGAGGAAGGCTCCTTCTACTGCGACTGCTCGACCTCACCAAGCAAAAACGCCGTCTTTGCTGGACTCTTCTGTGAATACAAGGCGACCGTCTTTTGCAACGAGGACAATTCACCAAACGACCTTTCCTTCTGCGCCAATGGAGGCAAGTGCAAGCAGCTCTTGGCGGATGCAGATGATGACGCGCATGCCGGATGCACTTGTCGGCCAAAGTACACTGGAAATGTAAGTAGAGACGGTCGGCTGAAGGTGCATATTCTCCAATTTTATTAGTTTACGCGCTACATCGATTGACTCATTAAATGCCTGCATCCGTTCACAGTTTTGCGAGTACGTCAAGGGTCAAACTGTGCCGGACGATTATGGTCCAGCAACCGGAAGTGTGAGCAACTCGACATCGTCCAACTCGACGGGAGCCGTTGGCGTTGCCTTTATTGTCATTGGACTCGCCGTGATTGTTGCTGCTATTGCAGGTCTCTTTGTCTGTCGTCGGCGACGTACATTGTTTTGGTCGCAGCACGCCATTGGGCCTTCCAAGCAAGCGACGGACATGGACCTTAGCGTCGATGGTAATGCCAACTTGCCGCCGCAGAACAAGCTTGATGAAGACGACGACAACGAAATTAAACTAACGGATAGTGTGGAGGTTTTTCAAGACGTCAATGTGGACGACGACGAAATGACTGACATTATTTAGTGCTGCTAAAAAAAGAAACAACGTTTTGGTTGACTATAACATTGCCAATCCACTTTCCATGCCCGTGCATGTATTCACACTCTTCGGCCTGCCATTACTCTAGTCTATTATAATAAACGAGGTTTAGCAGTAAAGGATTTGACCAGCTAGTGACTGATGTTATTCGTAACGTATGCAGTCGACTTCACTATGTCGTCACCGTAGACAACGATCATAACGCACACTTCCGAAGAGACAACAACCATAATGCAATTTACGCATCCATCTTGATGGAAACATCCGTAAAGTCCGAGTCGCTAACAATGACAATATCATCGTCGTCCTCCATATTGTCAGCATCAACTACCTTCATATTCCTCGCTCCACCTTCGTGCGTTTCGACGAGGCGCAGCTTTTCCTCATGCGACAGATTATGTTCCAACCAAACCAAAAGAGCCTCTCTCGCAACCTTTGCCTTTTCGTTGCGAGCCAACTCTAAGGCCTTGCCGTTGCCACCACCGAGCCCATGCGTCATAATGTCGGCACGGAGCTCCTTAATACGAGCCTGCCACTTCAACTTCTTCGCAGCAGGCGACATTCCCTTGAGCGACGCTTCAAACGAGGCAAGTTCCTCGACGTTAGACTTCATCTTCTTTCCATTGCCGACAGATTCACCTCCCGAAACGTCCTTGTATTGAGTGGCTGCATCCACAAATTTGTTCTTACGGGGCACCTGCTCACAATTGGCAAGCTTGTCCAACTCCTGACGAGCCAAGCGGAGCGCCTTGCGATTACCGCCCCCAGGTCCATTCGCCTGAATTTCAGCACGATGTTTCTTCATACGAGTCTGCCATTTTTGCTTAATCTCTGCCTGCGGCAAGCCCTCGAGGGATGCACGGAACGCGGCAAACTCTTCGTCGGTGTATGCCTGCTGAATTTTACTGTCCGTCAATGTCTTTCCAGGAACGACATCCTCCTGTTCAGCGACAAGCTTATTTTTGCGTGTCACCTGCTCTGCCTTGACAAGCTTATCCATCTCAAGACGAGCCAGACGGAGTGCCTTGCGATTACCCCCTCCAGGTCCATTGGCTTCGATGTCAGATCGGAGTTCCTTGATGCGAGTCTGCCACTTTTGCTTAAGCTCTGCCACCAACAAACCTTCGAGGGAGGCATGAAACACCGCAAGCTCCTCGTCCCCATACTTGGCATTCTTTTGCATCGAGTCACAAACAATCTCCTTCTTCTTGCTCATGTCCACCTGTTCGGCAATGGCAACGCCAGCAAAGTCCTTAGCGAGCTTGAAATCCTGCATTGCAGCTCGACGCGCCATCAAGTCCCTCTGTTTGCGCGCATGGCGGAGTGCCTTGCGAATTCCACTGCCACCTCCATTGAGCTGAATGTCCGCACGAAGTTTCTTGATGCGGAGCTGCCACTTGATCTGCTTGGCACGAGGACCAAGACCCTTGAGAGTTGCCTGGAACTTTGCGAGTTCCTCATCATCATAAAACTTCATATTGGTGCCACCTCTCAAATGTTTCTCACCGACAGATTTCTCCAAATCGCTCTCAACGACGCGACGAGCAGCCTTGCGCTCGGTCATGCGCTTCTGCATTATAGCGCGACCCTCCAACCACTTGATTTCGCGTTCCTCCTCCGACAATCCTTCTAATGCTGACGTGAATGACTCACGCGCCGTCTGTTGGAGAGCGACCTGTGCCATCGCACACTGCTCCAACTTGACGAGTTGGCGTTCCTGGCGCTTGGCTTTCTTCTCGGCCGGAGCAAGACGTTCCAACGACTCCTCAAAGACGCGACGCTCAGCCTGCTGGCGCTCCCTGCGTTCCTTCAACACGCTACGGCGGGCCTGACGCTTGGCATGCTTTTCCGCCGGCGTTAATCCTTTGAGCGACGCCATGAAAGCGATCTGCTCGGCTTCCTTGAGCTCCTTCATGGCTTGCTGCACGTTGATCTTGGTGGTGTTCTTCTTCAAGCCTACCATGATTTTGTAGTCTACTAGACTTACGACGTTGTGCGCAACTTGTATATGATACAGTAACACTGCTTTGAAATTGACTCGGAACCATGCGTGCCTCGTCTCACGTTTGGCTTGGATCTTGTTGCTTTTGGAGAATCGAGAGAAACGGATGTCGTACCGTGTCTCTCAGAGCTGATTTACTCGTACGACATAATGGACCAGTCTGATATTAAAACTGTAACTGTACTGACTGCTCTTAATAGGATTTGTATGAGGATGTGATGGTTCACGCCGCCAACTACTGGTAGCGTGGGATGAGCAAAGAGGTGGTGAAAATCTTGGATGATGCTAGGGCAGCTACAAGGATGCCATTTAGTTATCTACCTCCAACCAGACTGGGACCCATTATTTACTTGTTTCAAGCTCAAGGGCATACCCCAAATGATTTGTCATACTTATGTGAAGCCAATTTAAATCTGGGCAAGATTAGTAATGAAAGGCAGTTGATACTCCTACACATGTGAGCTGTCCTTCCTGCCATGAGATATGTGTGGGCCTCACATCTATCAATGATACATTTTGTGATGATTGACAGTAGATGGTTAATTTCACTACATCTATCTTAATCGAGAGTCCACAGAGATTGCTATAACAAATACATTTGCGTTTTAGTTGCATTAGTGCGCCCACTGCTGTAGCACAAGATGGCGCGTGTGCTTCCGATATAATGTAGGTGGTTATCATACTTGCCTTTCACGCAGGAAACCAGGGTTCGAATCCCTGTATCGGAACTTTTTGCCTTTACATCCAAGCGCTTCTGTATCTGAAAGAGCTCTCTCTTGCTGGCTAAAGAGTCTCTGTCGCATTGAACGCAAACGACCTGCAAACCGCTTGTAGTCCGTTGCTTGATATTCGGGACGCATTTGGTACGCCTCTTTTGGCTTCATTAGTGACACAATATTATTGAGTTGAGTTGACCTGCGTCTCATGACAAGACGGTTAGCTACCTGTGTTTTGTATGCATTTAATCCTGTGCAGGGTTGAGTCACACTTGTGACCGAATCCTCACATACATGAGTGAAATCGCTGACGATCGAGGCGTGAACCTCGACCGTGAACCCAGTGAGAACGAGAAGGAAGCGCACGAGTAGAGTAGCGAGTAACATGCACTATTCTAGCAATTGAGTTTGTTTGTTTGCTTTACGCTGGACGAAGAGGTTGATCGCTCCGAGTCCATTGTAGTCGCTGGAATAAAGGTTCGTCTGATATTATCGTGTCAGATTAACAGTCTTGCTAGCTGCTTGACCGAGAGCAGGAAGAGAGGGAAGAAAGAGCAACGGCGACGGAGAGCGCTGGAGGCGTACTTAACAAAAGGAGCAACTAGCCCCAGCAGAGGACCGCGGGACGAAACAACAGCAGTCCACGGAACCTTGTCCTCCGATGACGGAATGGTTTACCACACGACGACCCCGAACACAAAAGGGGCGTGCTTGAGGGCAAGCGAGCGAACCAAGCGTCTCGCGGAAACAAGAAATCGCGCGGAAGCGTAAGAAGGATACTATGTACTCGAGTCCAAGAAGAAGCAGCCGGACCGCCAGCAAACTGGAAAATGAGACCATCAAGGCTGAGAAGCGAAAAAGGAAGAAGATGCTGGGTCGCCGAACCCAAGACGAAACGAGACGATAAGGACCACAAAACGCTCCCAACATCCCCACGGGTAGTTGGAGCGCACCACAACGTTTAAGCTCCATGGCTGTTCAAACGTGCTCGGCAGCAAGACGCACAGTCACGGAAGAAGAGAAATTAGAATTCGAGAATCAGCAAGTCTTCGGGTACACCGCGCTTTCGCAATTGTCTCGAAGCCCCCGGACACCAGCCGCCCTGATGAAGTACGGCGACAAGTCTGACGCTGACGTTTATCGCTAACTCGGACCAAGTTTGGTTCCGGCGAAAGAAGTTAGCACCTCAAGCGAACGAACCGCAAGCCGGATTTGACGGACGAAAGACACTACAAGGTCCTAAACACACGAACAGCTCGAAGAATTCAAGAGTTCCGGCCCGGAGGACGGATGACAAGAAAGTACACTGGCCCGAAGAAGGCGACGAACTCGCCCCACAGCACGACGCTCGACCACGCGCAATTGGAACGACGACGCATCATCAGTGCAATGGTGACCCAGACGCCGCCGGACGAAGATTATGACTGCTTTTTCGACATGTGCCGCAGCAGGCCCGCGCACGACAACAAGAACGCCAAGTTGAATAAGGGCAAGAAGAAGAACGCCGACCGCCGCGTAACAACGCGAACCCGGACAAGACGGAAGGACGCGGTTCCGCGGGGCGGAGACAGGCCAAGGCGGACGCGCGGGGACGACGAGGTCCCAAGGAGCCGCGGATTCCGAGGACCAGGCTCTTCCGCCGCCACTACCAGCAGCCGGTACGCAAGCGCATCGGGAACGCACTCTGGTGATTATCTGAACTTTGAACAGTTGCTGCAGAACCCTGGTCGCAACGTCGCACGAACGCACTCGCGACTTAACGAGGACGAAACGCCAGCTCATGGCCGACGCGAAGCCGTCCAAGACAGCCACAAGACGCCAAGGGAACAATGGCAACCGCGAAAACCAGCAGCAAGCGGCCGCCTCGGTGCCTGGCACAAGACAGAATGATGCCGGCCCTCGACGGCTTCGACGACAGCCACCAAGGTGCACCGGATGATATGATTAGATCTTCCTGGAACGCTGCGTCGTCTGCACCAAGCGCGAAAACACCCAGCAAGAGTTTAGGGAAGAAGGAACGCGCATACCGAAGGATGGTATCGTGCGTTACGTATTGTGAATCGAGCTCGAGCAACACGACCCGCCAAGGATCGCTGATTGACGGCGGTGCGAACGTGTGGACTCGCGGAAGGCATAGAATCTTGAGTACTACCAACCACACGTGTAACGTGACAGGTTGAGCGACCACACGGTGCACTTCCGAAGTCGGAACTGGCGTCGCATTGATTGAGACTCAGACTGGACCCATTATCGGTCAGTTCAACCAGTATGCTTTGCACGACGGTGCTGAATCCATTCATGCACCATCGCAGCTTCGTTCGTTCGGCCATCTGATCGACGACGTTGCTCGCTCCCAGAATGGAACACAAGCCATTGTCACCAGTTGTGGCAAGACCATCCCCTTGGCGATCCGCGACGGTTTGCCTCGAAAACGCAGAGTTGGAAATGTATCCGACGGTCATTTTCTCTGCGGACACCCTTTGGGATCCGGCGGACTTGGACAATGAATGGAACGAAGAAGAACTTGAGTTTAATCGTCACCTCGACGAATTGGAAGAAACCCATGGTTTCGTCGACGCCCGCATGGATGACTTCGGCGACGCCACCTACCGGAACAACATGAATTCAGTGGAACGTGTGGTGCAGTATGTCGATCGCAATCAGGCTGATACGACGCGCCAAGCCAATGCACGACGCATAATGCCACAAGAACCTGACTACCAAGCGCTTCGACCCTACCTTGGCTACACGCCACTTGAACGAGTCAAGCGCACCATTAAGAATACGACACAGCTTTTTCGGCGCACGGCACACACCCCATTTCGCCAACACTTTAAGTCGCGATTCCCTGCCGCCAATGTGGTTCGTTTCCATGACGATACGGCGACAGATACCTGGTTTTCCAAGGAAGCTGCCTTTAACGACGGAATCCGCGGCCATGGCGGATGCAAGATGATGCAACTGTTCGTCGGCAAGAAGAGTCTGCTGACGAGGGGATACCCACTGAGAACCGAGAGTGACATGCCCATGGCGCTCGAAGACTTCATTCGAGACATTGGCGCTCCCGACTTGCTCATTAGCGATAACTCGCGAGTGCAGCTCGGGAAGCAAGTTGAAACCTTGTTGCGATTCTACGCAATTCGTGACCAACAGAGCGAGCCCGGATACCAGAACCAGAACCCTGCCGAGCGTCGCATCCAAGAAGTCAAGTCATCAGTCCAGAACATCATGAACCGTACGGGTGCACCCGCTGGAGCCTGGCTCCTATGCGCACTGTACGTAATCGCCTTATTCAACAATCTGGCGACCGAGTCCCTCAACTGGAAGACCCCTACTGAAGCCGCCTTCAACCGAGTACCCGACATTTCGCCGTTCCTGCAGTTCAAGTTCTGGGAACGAGTCCTGTACGAAGCTGGAGCCGATGAGACGCCGACATTTCCCCACACTAAGGAAGCAGCAGGACGCTGGGTTGGCATTGCAGAGAACAAGGGTGACATCCTCACGTACCAAGTCCGATCCGATCGGACTGGAATGGTTGTCGTCCGATCCAACGTTCGTCCCTTCTCCAAAGGACATAACCTGCGCGCCGAAGCTGAAAGCGCTCCTGAACCCGAGTCCGAACGACCACTGTTCGCGGAACCTGTCTTCGACGCGCGCCCCGCGCGTGAACGAGTCCAAGTCGAAACTGTCGACGAGTTTGACGATGAGTATGACCTAGTCGGTCCGGTGTTTGAACACGACCTTACACCGACCCCAGCGCCTGATTCTGGGGGAACCGTGGATGAAGACGCATTCACGTTGGAAAGCGCTGCCGAGTTAGCCGGTCTGGATCCCGACGGACCCATGCCGTCCTTTACTCCGGCTGAACTGATGGGACGCACTGTCCTTCTTGACGAGGAAGACGGCTCAACGCGACGTTACAAGGTTATCGAGCAACTGAACGATCGCGATGAAGCCAACCACAAGATCATCAAGTTCCGATTGAGTCTCGGAGACGGCGACGTCGACGAGCTTATCACCTACAACGAACTAGCCGACCTGTGCGAGCGGCAAGATTCTTTACGACTGGGGGACGATGACAACGACGATCAGTACTACAAGTTTGATTTCATTGACGGACATGAAGGTCCACTGACACAAGCCGACGCTACGTATCGCGGCTCATCCTACAACTTGCTCATCCAATGGGCAAATGGCGAGAAGACCTGGGAGCCACTCGCATTGATTATCAAGTCCGACCCTGTGACCGTTGCCGAGTATGGCAAGCGCAAGGGCATGCTGGACAAGGATGGATGGAAGCGTTTGAAGCGCATGGCAGGACGCACTAAATTGTTTAACCGCATGTGCAAGGCTGCAAAGAAGAACCGTGTCCAAGAAGCGCGTTTCAAGTTTGGCGTTCAAGTTCCTAATACCTGGAAGGAAGCGAACCGCCTCGACGCTGCTAATGGAAACACCCTGTGGGCTGACGCCGTCAAGACTGAGATGGAGCAGCTACACGAGTACGACACTTTCATCGACAAGGGCATCGGTGCCTTCATGGAAAGTGATTGGAAGCGCATCAACGCGCATCTTGTTTTCGACTGCAAGAACGATCTACGACGTAAGGCCCGACTCGTCGCCGGGGGACATCTGACCGCTCCGCCCAAGGACTCCGCCTACTCCGGCGTTGTATCTATGCGAAGCATTCGAACCATAGCACTGTTAGCTGAACTGAACGACCTCAAGTTTTGGGCTGCCGATGTCGGTAACGCTTACCTCGAGGCCAAGACCAAGGAAAAGGTCTACATTGTTGCCGGTCCCGAGTTTGGACCATTGGAAGGCCATACCTTGGTCATCTACAAGGCACTATACGGATTGCGCACTTCTGGCGCGCGTTGGCATGAGCACTTTGCCGACACACTCCGCGACATTGGATTTCTCAAGCTACGCGGATCCTGACGTCTGGATGAAAGACTGTGGCACTCACTACGAGTACGTCGCGCGTTCATCGACGATCTGGCTATGGCCATGAA